TAGCAACTGTCTGCTTTACTTTGTGTTGATAAATATTTTCCTAAAGAAATCACCTTTAGTCATTTAACCACATGTTCTTTAACTAAAGAAATGTTGAATAGAAGATTTGGGGTTATAACCAGGAAAAGTAACTGGATAAAAACTGATTAGATTTCGTTTCAGGTGAATTCTCTAATGACATAGAGTCTTATCTTTAAGTATGCAAATTCAGAAATTCATTCTTTTTGGTGATTCCAAGTTTTCAGATTCTGATACTTTTCACTCAAGCTAACAAAGCTCAAGGAAGACTTTTCATATAAATTGCAATGCTGATTTATTAACATATATTGAGAAATGACTTCCCCTGTGTCGTGTCATCCTTAAAGAGGTAGACTCTTCACCAAAATTTGGTTCAGATGTTAAGAATGATGGTGCCATCACACAGAAGTCAACAGGGTATGAAAAAGTTTATTACATAAAAAAGCTTTCTGGGGAGAACAGGACAAGATTCTAAGCAGGTATGAAAATGACTTGAGAGAATAGGGAAGGAGACTGACTTGTTTTTTTATTGGGTTTATGAAGTGGCATTATGATGAGAGTTCTCAATATATGGGCTGGGCTTGTGTGGTTTGAATTTGTCTCTGGTGCCAGAGGAAGTAATACCCACATTTGCCCAGGTTTGGGGCAGAAGGGCACAAGGGACTGACAGGACTTAAAAGCTCTCAACATTCAAACATTAAAAATGGAGTCAGGTTCTTTGTTACACCCTTTTCTTTGCCTCCATTGTTTATTCTTGTCTTCAACACATTATCTTGTTAGCTAAATTAATCTTTCCATTAGTTATACTTATGACTTTTTGGCTTGGGAACCATTCTTTCTTTTTCAGATGGCTCCATATTTCTTAATTGATACGTATATTTTAAGTTTAATAATTTAGTTCTTAAAAAGCAGCCATAATTTTTTAAGTTATTGGGAAAGCATGTGATAAGATAGCTGGGAATAGTAACGAAAAGTTTAGAATTGCTCATACCTAAAAAAATAATACATTCATAGCTCCGGAAACTGGCTTTTCATTCTTCTTCAGCTGAGTAAATCTGTCACTGAATGTTCAGTTGTTTCTCTTCTTAAAGCCATTAGCCACAAAGTTGAAACAGGCTGCTTACACATGTTCCTGTCAGAGACTGCTCTGTCTAGCTCCCAACTATGCATTGTGCCATAGGGACAATGGTGCTGAGAAAAATCCCAAAGTGGAGGTAACTTGAGAGAAAGACCCCAAAAATCTGCAAAAGTATTACCTTCAAGTCATTGGCTGTCTCCTAAATGTCACATGCAAAGGATGAGGCTCCAAGAAATTCACCAGAAATTTGGAGCTGGGAGGATAAAGAACTAAACAGAGATGTCAGCACTTTTGTGCTCAGGAGACCAAGATCATAGTTAAGCCTTGCTGAGGTAGAAGAGTCTTGGTAAAAATACTCTGCCTGGGCTTATAGTGACTCCCTAAGGAATGTCCCTTAATATTAAAGACCATACCCTAGGAATAAGGGCAAAATTGAAGTAAATCTGCTAACCTGCTCTTAAAAAACCCAAAACCAATTCTTAAAAGGAATGAGGTATCTGCTGCTGGTATCCCATCTGTTTGCCAAAAGAAAGCCTAACCTAATTTGGAGGAAGAGAGCATCATCCAAAGTTTCTATAATTTTTTTCATCCGTGATGTCTGGAATCAAATCAGAAAATACAAGGGATGCTGGAAAAACAGGATCAAAGACTGAATATCAAGAGAAAAAATACCAGTAGAAAGAGCCCATAGGTGATGAGATATTGGTGTTTTCAGAGAGGGACTTTAAAATTACTATGTTATTTTATGCAAGAGAGTCAAGGAAAAGGTGGACCAAACAGATGAAAATATGAAAAATTTCAGTAGAGAATTTGATCTATTAAAAATAATCTAAAAATATTTTAAGAGATTCTGATAAACATTTTAGAACTGAAAAATACCATGCCTGGAATTAAGAACTCATTCATTTGGTTTACTATGATAGCAAATAAAGAAAAAGATAGAATTAGGGAACTATAAAATAATACCCAAACTTCTAATCAGATTAACTTCGTAGCACAGCAGGATTATTCTGAATTCTTGCCTCTACTTACACTAGTTCCCTGTCTTGTTCTGTCCCCATCCAGCGCTTCTCTTTTCCTAATAGTCTTTTTTTCCACCTATTATTTCAAGTCCTATTTCTATGTATCCTTATTGAAGACCTATATCCCTGATCTCAGTAGCATACAATATAGGGAATTTTGATTAGTCGTTCATTTATAGGTGCTTGGCAGGCCAACATAAGACACTGTTAATCACAGAACATGAAGAGCACGGAAGTCTAGATAGACAGCTTATTGACACCAAGTAAATTTAGCAATAAGCAGAAAGTAAAGATCCAGTGATAGACTCTTAGTTATAAGCAGAAAGTAAAGATCCAGTAATAGACAGAATATTAGGGTAACAAACAGACCCCTATTCAGGGAAATCGAAATTAAGAAAACGAGTTAGGAAACCACAGCAGGAACCAAACCACAGACCCACAACTATGACAGGATCCCTGGTGTGGTACACACACACAAAGGAGGCCAGGCTCAGTTCTGGAACTCTGCTCCTTTGTCAGTCTTACCAGAGGGAGGCAGCAACAGTAATTCACACAAACCAGATAAAGATCTGTAATTGTTAAATTTCTGCTGCCTAAGACCCAAGCTGGTCCCAGAATCTGGTGATGTTTAAGTGGGTTTACAACATAAGAGGGCTTTGAGGACAGGGAAACTTAACCAGTTATCATACCTATATCAGTGCATAATTGCTCTTTGTTTGGGATAAAAAACTAAGTTAGGTAAAAGTTGATTTTCTCTTAGGGCTATGTCTACTACTATTAGGTAAATCATAAATTTAGCTATGTAGGCCTAAAATTGGGTTGTATGCATTCCTTAGGAAGAGATATGGAATATTAAGATGTTAAATGGTCAAATTTTATAATAAATCATGTAAGATTTGTGTGTCTGCATTCCTAAATTACTTTAACCTATTACCACTCCCTGCCTAACTTAGCCTCAATTTTATTCTTAAGAATGTAGGTAGAAAATTTTTATCTTTAGCTGTATCTTGTTTCAATATTAAAAGCTTTTATTTATTGTATTTTAAAAATTCAGCTTTTTAAATTTATTAGTTTTTCTATTATAGTTGATATTCAGTATTATATTGATTTCCAGTATACAGCATTGAATAATGTAGATAACTGAGGTCAAAAGAGAAAAGGCCTCCATTTATTTTGACATGATGTAGATAACTGTCAATGACAGTTATCTACATTATTAAGTGCTCAGCTCAACTAGTGTACTTACTGTCTGTCAACACAGATATTATTTTTTAAACATTCAGCTTTATTGAGTTATAAGTGAAAAACAAAATTATAAGACATTTGAAGTGTACATCATGGTGACCCAGCATGTGTATGCATTGTGAAAGGATCCTCTGTCTAGTTAGTTAACATATCAGTCACCTCACATAACTATACCTTCTTTTTTTTTGTATTAAGTTATCATTGATATACAATCTTATGAAAGTTTCACATGAGCAACATTGTGGTTACTACATTCCTCCCTATTGTCAATCCCCACCACATACCCCATTACAGTCACTGTCCATCAGCAATAACTATACCTTCTTCTCCTTTTTCTCCTCCTCCTCCTCCTCCTCCTCCTCTTCTTCTTCCTCCCCCTTCTGCTCTCCCTCTTCTTTCTTTTCTTTGGTGAGAACACATGAGTTCCACCATCCTAACAAACCTCAACTCTACAATACAGTGCTGTCAGCTGTAGTCACCATGCTCTACCTTGGATCCTCAGACCTCATTTATCTTACAGCTGAAAGTTTGTACCCTTTTACTAATCTCTCCCTATTTCCTCCATTCCCTAGCCCTTGACAATCACTTTTCAACTCCCTGTTTCCATGAGTTTGGCTTTTTTCTTTTTTTTTTTAAAGATTCCACATAAAAATAATGTCACATAGTATTTGTTGTGTGGCTTATTTCACTTAGCATAATAACCTCAGGGTCCATCTCTGTTGTTTAAAATAGCAGGACTTCCTTTCTTCTCAAGGCTTAATGATATTTCATTGTTCTGTATCTGTTCACAACCTCTTCATCTGTTCAACTGTTGATGGACATGTAGGTTGTTTTGTGTATTAACAACTTTTAGATTTAGCTTGGGCTAAACTAAAAATGGAATCATATAGTAAGTAGCTTTTGAGTCTGGTTTCTTTCTTAGCAAAATACATTTGGGTTTCATTCAGTTTGTGTATAGCAATAGTTTGCTCCTTTTCTATTGCTGAATAGTATTCCATTGTATGGATATGTCAGTTTTTATCCATTCACCAGTTGAAGCACATTTGAGTTGTCTCCATTTTCTGGCTCTTCTGAACAAAAATGCAAAAAACTTTCATTTAGGAACCAATTTTTAAGGTGATACCTCTTAGAAATGAGGCAGTATGATACAAGTGTGCAAACAGTCAAGTGGGAAGACATCAGAGATCTGGGCTTTTGTATTAGTTTTGCATCCAGTGAACTGTTCAGTTGAAGAAATAATTTAACCTCTCTGTGCTTATTTCTTTTGTAAATGTGCATATTAAGGGCTTATTCTAGCTGTAAAAACACAATATTGTGCTGTATAGGTAAGATATTTACTCGTGTGTTCTCTAAGAGGAGAAATTACAAATGGTCACATTCATCTTTATAAAATGAATTCAGTATAACTAATATTTAAAAGTAGGGGTCATTTTGTCTCCATGTCTAGTTACAAATGGCTTGAAAATAATATAATTTGCTTAATAAATTTTAAAGGTTATCATAATATTGAACTTTTTATTAACTATATAATCCTATTGATTATACATTGGAAAATTATTTTGATAAAAATACTCATACGTAAATGATATTTTCCATCAAAATATTTTAGCTTTAATTTTTATTTACTTTTTATTTAGATGGGTCTAGGAAAGACAATCCAGGCAATTGCCATCGTTTATTTCTATAAGGAGGAATGGCCTCTTTTAATAGTGGTCCCTTCATCACTGAGGTACCCTTGGACAGAAGAAATAGAGAAATGGATCCCAGAGCTAGACCCAGAAGAAATCAATGTTATTCAGAATAAAACTGATGTCAGGTAAGAACAACTTTCTAATCTTTAAGGAAAAAAGAGCCTTCCTGTATTACTTAGTAAATACTGATGTTGGGAATGAAATATCACCTGTAGGTCATAACTTAGAATTAAGAGAATAGTGTGGAGAATTTTACTCCACATTTTTAATTATGAATTACTTCCCTAATATACAACAGTATATTTAATGTTGTAAGTTCCCATTGGTATAGTTTAGTAGTAAATCTAAAATATGTATATTTTTAAAGATGCAATATACCTATGTTATATATACCTTAATATATACTATTTCTAGTTGAAAAATAAATCTCACAAGTTTTCAATGATTAATATGAAGTTTGTGAGCTTTTATTATTAGCAACCATGATAGATTTTTGTTTTTTAAATTATTAGTTAATATGCAAATTTATATGTAACTCAATATTAGCCAACTTTATTTTTGTTATATAAATTTTGTTGTAGTTTGTTTATAATTTTTCTACACTGAAAATATTTGCTTTGTAATTATTTGAAGTCCTTACTCAAAAAAAAATCATCATTTAGTTCCTGTTTTTTCTCCATTTGTTGTCTAGCCATTGGAATAAGCCAGTCAATTTGAATATTGATAATTTATTATATTGAGTTTCTAGGTGAATCATGCAAATTAGCAAGTTTCTAGAAGTTCAGAATTAGCAATTTCTGAGCCTCAAATAGAAAAACAGTACATCTCCTTGAAATAAATGTTTGTTACTACTTGGTTACTGTTTTTTTTATTATGGTATTGTTGTAGTATTGTATTCTCAACGATTGTAACATAAAGAGTATTTGTAGATACAAAGTTGGCCTTTGTGAATGTGGAAGAAGGAACCAGACAAAATAAATGGAGGCCTTTTCTCTTTTGACCTCAGAGCTCTGAATCATTGAAATATGTCTTTATGAGCTCAAGGAAATTTGGACACTACTTACATGGTCAAAATAAAATGTAGGCAATAATTATAAATAAATTTCTTTTCTTCCAATAAAAGTGTATAAATGTTTTAAGGACTAGAGAATATAGAATTTATTAAGGCCTCTATACCCCTTTTCTGTTAGCTATGCCTTATTTACAATTTTACATTTAACTTAAAAATTTTTGTCCTTTGTTATCTTTTATAGCATTTAAGTGATTTAGTTTTCATCTTTATTTTGTAAGTCCACTTTTGCAATTAAGTAGTGGCATCTATTTTTATTTGAATAACGTTTGGGGTATATTAAATAGTTCTACATCCCCACAGTTGAACTTTCCTGGAAGATAACAGCTCAGGACAGAAAAACTTAACCAGTGTCTTCCAGGTACTTAAACAGCTTTAGGTATATACTAATATGTGGCAACATATATTAACCACAAATACATACACCTCCTTTTGGCATATTCCAGTTATGCCTGACTGTTCTCTAGTCAAGATATAGCAGGGTAGAAGCTGCAGTAGTGATTGCAGCCCTTGTCTTCTGTATATTGCTCTCACTACACCTGCGTTAGTAACTAATATTAAATCTATACTTTCCTTTTGCAGGCTTTTCTGATATTAAGTACAGTCATAAAATCACAAGTCTCTATATTAAATTGATTTATTCATTAAAATGCAGATGACATTTAGAAAAAACCACTTTATTGTGTGCTTTTGGCTCTTTTTGGAGTTTTCAGTAAAGGGTGGAGAACTGTAGAAGATTGACTCCGCCCTGCAATTTTCAGTGATGATAAGGAAAATGCACAAGTGATTATTTTTTATTTTTGCATATTTGTCTAAGTATTTCATTCTACAAACTCATTAGGAACATAGTATACTGTACATGCAAAGATGAATAAGACATTCCTTGCCCTTACCAATCTTTTGATACACTATGGGAGATAAGAATGTTCCGTGGACCCTTGAACAGAACAGATTTGAACTATGAATTTTTTTTCAATAAGTATGTTAGAAAATATTTTGGAAATTTGTGACAATTTGAAAAATAATTTTCTTTTCTCTGGCTTACTTTACTTTAAAAATATATAATACATATACAGAATATGTGTTAATCAACTATGTTAGTGGTGAAACTTCCAGTCAACAGTGGGAATTAGTAGTTAAGTTTTGAGGGAGCAAAAATTATATGCAGATTTTAATTACAAGATTTTCAGTGACCCTAACCCCCATATTGTTCAAGGGTTAACTGTAAATGAATAATTTCATTACAGCATGGCAAAGAATATTGTAGGTATATGAGTTATAGTGATAGTTCAAAATATCAGGAGTCATTTCAGCCCAATGTTTCTCTGCTTGAGGTGGTACCCCATCTTCATTTCCCCACATTTCATCACCCCAGGTCTGGGATATTTTTGTTTTCATGGTGACAGGAACTCTACTGGCCTCTAATGGGAAAGTCCAGGAATGTGAAATTCCCTTTGGTACATTGAACAGCTGTGCAATATTAAGCATTGTCCTCAAAATCCTAATAGCACCTGGGTTGAAAAACACTGCTGTCCTGTTTGTGGGAAGGCTTCACTGAATAGTCAACTAATAATTGAGTATCTACATTATGCGTGACCCCAGATGCATGGAACCAATTTTCTCAGAAAGTAGTGTTCTTATTCTACTAAAATATGGCTTGCTAGACACCAAAAATCTTTCAAAGACCATTTGGTTTTTGGTTTTGGCTAACCAAAATTTAAATTTTGGATTCTGGTTTATTGAAAATAAAAATCTAAAGAGAAATAGGATTGCAACAGTAGTACCACCTCCTCTTAATTTTTCCTCTTTTCTTTTTTCCTGTCTTCTGAATTACTTTTCAAACACTTGCATTGTTTATGATAAATTGGTTACTGAAATATTTTTAAAGTACATGGATTTTCTCTTCTAGGAGAATATCGACCAGCAGAGTGACAGTCCTAGGTTATGGTCTTTTAACCACAGATGCAGAGACTTTGATAGATACTCTGAATAATCAGAACTTCAGAGTAGTTATAGTGGATGAATCACACTACATGAAGTCCAGAAATGCAAACCGCAGCAAGATTTTATTGCCACTAGTACAGAAAGCCAAACGAGCCATTCTTCTTACAGGAACTCCAGCTCTGGGAAGGCCTGAAGAGGTATTAGAATTCTTATGTATTGTGCTTGAAAAAAAGAAAAATGAATCACCTGTTTTGCATTTTTTAATTTAAATTAGTTGCCTCAAAGGTCAGAAGAAAACATAGGAAATTCCTAGACAGCTATTAATAATTAAATATATCTTTTACTATGTCTGTTTTTATCTGTTACATGTGAACATTAGCCATGCTTATACATGTATATAAAAAGCGATTTTTACTTTTATTATAATGCTTTAATATTTAGCACTTATTCATAATATTCTTCATCTTTATGCTCTTGTGGTCCTTCTATGGTGTTAATCTTCATTTAGCCAGTCTACTTTATAGTATCCTTAGGAGTTGAGTTTACTATATATCTTTCATACTGCATTATATAACTTAACTCTGTTCCTTCACTTCAAGATCCAGATAGGGTACCTACTTAGAACGGAGCAATAAGGCATTTTTGGTATCCCATTAGATCTTAACCGCTTTAAAAGGTAGGTGGGGTATGGCATGATTAAAGAGTTGAGAAGAAATGGTGGATGAAACTTTTATGAGTTTCTGTAATAACAGTCAGTGTAATCTAGGGAAACCTTGTCTATCTATTAATGAAACATGGGGTCATTGTCTTACAGGGTTGTTGTGAGAATTAAAGAAAATATTTCTTTGAAAGTATCTTACCCTATACCTTGGCATATATTAATCACTCAACACAGGGTAGCCATTGCTATTATTGATTATTAAGCCAAGCCTGGGAGACAGCTGTTGCATTTCATCTCTGCTAGTGTTACCAAGGCTCTGCTTTTGAACTCCACATTGGAAATCTTCTGAGATTCACATAACAATACATAGATAGTAATGATAAAATGCTCAATTTTACTTTCATAAATTTTTTTCTTCTAAGTGGAAGAGTAGACTCCAATAATTTATCTTCCAAAATTATGTCACTGAATAATTGCATTGATTATATCTTTACTTAAAAAATTATGAAATGTATCATTTAAGAAAGAGAGTATATAAAAGATATGTATATTTTAAATGACAATGTAAAATAAATACTCACCTTTTGATTACCTTACCATAAGAAAGAGAACACTGACAATACAATAGTGGCTCCTGTATCCTACTGTGATTACATGCCAATACTTTAACTCCTCTTTCAAGGTAGCCATTATTCAAAGCAAGGGTCAATCCTGGTTTTGTGGATACTTTTGGTTATACAGTTTGAGGATGTTTGGGACCTTTTAGGAAAAAAATCAAAAATTAAAAATTCTAGGGAGTTTTGAAACAAGGAAGTGTGAGTCCTCCAACTTTGTTTTTCCTTTTCAAAATTGTTTTAGGTATTCTGGGTTCCTTGAATTTCCATATGAATTTTTGTAGAGCTTAGCAATTTTTGTGAAGAATCTGGAATTGGCATAGGTATTATGTTGGATCTGTAGATCACTTTGGAATGTCTAATGTCTTGCCATTTTAACAATATTAAATCTTCAAATCCATGAATATGGGATATCTTTCAATTTATTTAGGTTTTTAATTATTTTCTAATAATGTTTTAGTTTTCACAATATAAATCTTATGCTCCTTTTGTTAAATATTTTATTCTCTTTGATGCTTTGTCAATGGACTTACTTTCTTAATTCATTTGCATAATGTTTGTTGCAAATGTATAGAATTGATTTTTGTATATTGATCTTGCTTTGCTAAACTCATTTACTTGTTCTAATAGTTTTTCGGTGGATTCCTTATATACAAGATCATGTCATCTGCGAACAGAGGTAGTTTAACTTCTTCCTTCCCACTCTGAATGCCTTTTACTTCATTTTCTTGCTTAATTGCCCTAGCTAGAACTTCCAGTAGAATTTTGAATGTACGTAGCAAGAATGGGCATCTTTGTTTTATTCTTGATCTTAGGGGGAAAGCATTCAGCCTTTTACTTTTATGTATGTCACCTATGAATTTTTTTGTAGATTTATTCTTTCTTTCTCTTGTTTTTTGACTATTTAATCATGAAAGGATATTGAATTTTGTCAAATGCTTTTTGTGCATCCATTAAGATAATCATGTTTTTTGTCCTTTATTCTGTTAATATGGTGTATTATATTAATTGATTTTCAGATGTTAAACCAACTTTGCGTTCTGGGATAAATTTCACTTGGTAATGGTATATAATCCTTTTATATGTTGCTGGATTCAGTTTGCTAAAGTTTTATGATATTTTTACGTTTATATTCATAAGAGATGCTGGTCTGCATAATATATCTTGATTGGCTTTGGTTTCAAAGTAATACTAGATTCCTAGAATGAGTTGACCCTCTTCTATTTTTTAGAAGAGTTCATGAAGCATAGGTATTACTTCTTTTTTAAACATTCAATAAAATTCAGTCGTGAGGCCATCTGGGCCTAAGCTTTCCTTTGTGTGTTCTTTTTAGGTTAATGAATTTAATGTCTTTACCAAATATATGTGTATTCAGATTCTCTACTTCTTGAGTCAGTTTTGGTATTTTGTGTCTTTCTAGGAATTTGTCCATTTCATCTAAGCTATATTATTGGCATACAATTATTCATAGTATTCTTTTATAATCCTTTGTGTTTCTGTGAAGTTGATGGTAATGTGGTCTCCTTTATTACTGATTTTAGTAATTTAAGTCTTCTCTCTTTTTTCTTGGACTTGCTAAAATTTTGTCAGTTTTGTTGACTTTTCCAAGAACCAACTTTTGGTTTCACTGATTATTCTCTATTTTGTTTATTTTCAATTTAATTTTTATTATATTATTATTTCTGTTTGTTTTGGGGCTAGTTTGCTCTTCCTTTCCCAGTGTCTTTAGTTGGAATGTTAGGTTATTGATTTGAGATCTTCATCTTTAAAATAGACATATACAGTAAATTTCCCCCTAAGTACTGCTTTCACTGCATCTCATGTTTTGGTATGTTGTTTTTTTCAGTTTCATTTATCTCAAGTCTTTTCTAATTTCTGATTTCCCTTGTGGTTTCTTTTTGACCCATTGGTTATTTAGGAGCATGTTGTTATATAAAAAGGATGTAAACAACAAATCCACTTTGGAAAATGCTTTGGCAGTTCCTTAAAAAGGTAAAAATAGAGTTACATAAGATCAAACAATTCCTTTCCTTGTCAAATACCCAAGAGAACTGAAAATATATTCACAAAACCTGTATACAGATGTTCATAGTGGCATTATTCATGATATCCAAAAAGTGGAAAAAGCCAGTGTCCTTAAGTGATGAATGGATAAACAAAATGGATCCACAGAAAGGAATGAAGAACTGACACATTCAGTAACTTGGACGATCCTTGAAAATATTAGGCTAAAGTGAAAGAAACTGACACAAAAGCTACATATTATGTGATTCTGTGTATACAAATGTCCAGAACAGGCAATTTAATGGAGATAGGAAGTAGATTAGTGGTTGCCAGGATTGAGGGAGAGGAGGAATGGGAAATGACTGGTAATGTGGTTGGGATTTCTTTTTGAAATAATAAAAATGTCCCAGAATAAGGTAATGGTAATCAAGGTATAACTGTGAATATATCAAAAGGCACTGAATTTTATACTCTTTAAAGTGTGAACAATACAAGTGGTATGTGAATTATACATCAATAAAGTTGCTATATTCAAAAGGCATGTAAGATAAACAGTGAGACACTACTGTGTGTGTGTATAGCCACAAAAGTTATAAAAATGAAAAGATGTCATGATATTGATGGGCATGTAAACTGGAACTGTCTTTTTACAACTAGTAATATCCATCAAACTTCAAAAAGTATATACCTTAACCTCAACTCTTCATTTCTAAAAATAAACCCTATAAAACATCTAATAGAAATGCAGATGGGTCACTAGATAGATGGATGGGTAGATAAATGATTGATAGATGTAGATGTAGACACATATGACTATACCTGTATATATTTATAAATATGAATACATACACACATACACTTATGTGAAATTAACTTTTGTAACTGCAAAAAAGCTAGAAATAGCCTATATGTCCATCATTATGAGACTGTTTAAACATTTCACAGTACATATACATAATAATGGGTTGCTATGCAGTCTTTAAGCAGTGTATTTTTATTGTAATACATTGCTTGTTATTTTTTAAAATAAGTAAAAATATGTGTATAACAATGATATTTATACTTTTCTGTGACAGAATTCTAGTTGTATAATATCCTATTCTTGTGAATAAAAGAGAATATGTGCATATGCTTATATAGGTCTACAATATATATCGATGTATATTAAAGAAAAAGATAGCAGCTACCTGTGAAGAATAGGATGGAAAGGATGAGTGGGTTGAGGGGAAGGAGGAGCTTTAAGGAAGAAGAGGTAGATTTTCTTTTTTACTATTTTATTAATGGGATTTATCATAGTAATGATAACTTACTTGAAAATATTACAACATATTAAGAACACTTATATTGTTGCAGCTTTTCATGCAGATTGAAGCTCTCTTTCCACAAAAATTTGGAACGTGGACTGACTATGCTAAAAGATACTGTAATGCACGTATCAGGTATGACAAACTATTTTCTATAAGTTGTAATCCTCATATATTTACCATGTACATTAAGCTTTATTAGTCATTTTTTATTTCAGTGTTTTTCAAACTTGTGGTAGCTATGTAATAATTTCTTAAAATAAAATCTTATGTGGATGGCCTATATATAAAATAAATAAAAGGAGTAGATAATGACAGTTTTTCTTTATTTTTGTTTATTACCTTCCACTTATTTTATTTTGTATTTTCTTTTTATTTTATCAAATATACATCATGGTGGTTCAACAGTCCCCCTCTAGCTCCCCCTACCCCCACTCACACCCCTCTCCTTGGTAACCACTAGTCAATTTTCAGTGTCTATGAGTCTACTACTGTTTTGTTCCTTCTGTTTTACTTTGTTTTTATAATCCACAAATAAGTGAAATCATATGGATTTTTCTTTCTCCACCTGGCTTATTTCACTGAGTATAATACTCTGTAGATCCATCCACGTTGTTGCAAATAGCAGGAGTTCTTTTCTTTTTATGGTTGAATAATATTTTGTTGTTATATGTATGTCATTTTCTTTATCCATTCATTGATTGATGGACACTTAGGTTGCTTCCATATCTTAGCTATTGCAAACTGTGCAGCAATAAACATAGAGGTGCCTATATCTTTTCAAATCAGGAATTTCATTTTCTTCAGGTAAATTCCTAGGTGTGGGATTAGTGGGTCAAATCATATTTCTATGTTCAGTTTTTGAGGACCCTCCATACCACAGTGGTTGCACCAATTTGCAGTCCTACCAACAGTGTAGGAGGTTTCCTATTTCTCTGCACCCTTGCCAGCATTTGTTATTTTTTGTCTTTTGGATAGTGGCCATTCTAACAGGTGTGAGGTGATATCTCATTGTGACTTTAATTTGCGTTTCCCTGATGATTAGTGATGTGGAGCATCTTTTCACGTGCCTGTTGGCTATTCATATTTCTTCTTTGGAGAAGTGTCTGTTTAGGTCCTCTGCCCATTTTTTGATCAGGGTATTTGTGTTTTGGGTATTGAGATGTATGAGTTCTTTATATATTTTTGTTGTTAGCCCCTTATCAGATGAGTTTTTAACAAATATATTCTCCCATACTGTAGGGTGCCTTTCTGTTCTACTGTACAGAAGTTTGTTTTTGTTTTGTTTTTTTCCCAATAAAGCAAATTTATCAAAAAGGAGAAAAGGAGGTAGAGAATCAGGGCAAACAAAATTAATACACCAGACTGACTGCTTGTCTGTCAAATATCAACATGGCAGTTTTGTCAAGAAGTATTTTCATAAAAATAAAATTATAAACATTGGTCATTGTTCCTGTTTTCTTTAAGTTCAGAGAATACAGTATTTCAAGGAGTAAACAAAATTAGGATAAAAAGGTTTCCATTCCATTTGTAGAAAATAACCTAGTGAACATGTCTAATTATTTAAACAATTTAAATGTATACACTAGAACTATACTGTCCAAATAAAAGCCAAAAGTACATGTGGATAATTAACACTTGAAATCTAGCTAGTGTGACATAAGAATGCAATTCTTAATTTTATTTATTTAAAATTAAATTTAAATGTTTAAATTCAAATTTAAAATTACTACTCAATTCAGTTACTGTAAAACATTTTAGTATGCTTGGAACAAACTGAGTATGTGAATTTACTTCATTAACTTTTAACTTTCTGAATGTATTTATATGTACAAAAGTTTTTTTAGTTTGATGTAGTCCCACTTGTTCATTTATGATTTTGTTTCCCTTGCTTGAGGAGATATATTCAGGAAAAACTTACTCATACTTATGTTCAAGAGATTTTTGCCTATGTTTCCTTCTAAGAGTTTTATGCTTTCATGACTTACATTCAGGTCTTTGATCCATTTCAAGTGTACTTTTGTTTTGGAGTTAGACAGTTTCATTTTCTTGCATGTAGCTGTCCAGTTTTGCCAACACCAGTTGTTGAAGAGGCTGTCATTTTCCCATTGTATATCAACGGCTCCTTTATCATACATTAATTGACCATAGATGTGTGGGTTTATATCTGCACTCTCTATTCTGTTCCATTGATCTATGATTCTGTTCTTCTGCCAGTACCAAATTGTTTTGATTACTGTGGTTTTGTAGTAAAGCTTGAAGTCAGGGAGTGTAATAGCCCCCAGCTTTGTTCTTCTTTCTCAGGATTGCTTTGGCTATTTAAGATCTTTTGTGGTTCCATATGAATTATAGAATGATTTGTTCTAGCTCATTTAAGAATGCTGTTGGTATTTTGATAGGTATTGAATAATTGAACCTGTAAATTGCTTTTGGCAGAATGGCCATTTTGACAATATTAATCTTCCTATCCATGAGCACAGGATAAATTTCCGTTTTTTGGTGTCTTCTTTAATTTCTCTCATGAGTATCTTATAGTTTTCAGAGTATAGGTCTTTCACCTCCTTGTTTAGGTTTATTCCTAGGTATGCTTTTTGATGCAATTGTAAATGGAGTTGTTTTCCTGATTTCTCTTTCTGCTAGTTCATTGTTAGTATGTAGGAATGTGACAGATTTCTGTGTCTTAATTTTGTATCCTGCAACTTTGCTGAATTCAGTTACTAGTTCTGGTAGTTTTTTGGTGAATTCTTTAGGGTTTTCTTTGTATAATATATCATCTGCAAATAGTGAGAGTTTAACTTCTTCCTTACCAGTTTGGATGCCTTTTATCTCTGTGTTGTCTGATTGCTGTGGCCAGTTTATTTTATTTTTAAAATTATTCATTGGTATTGCTGAAATAACTGTGTATATTGTACAAAAGTGAAAAGTAAGTGCCTGTTCCACCCATTTCTCTCAGCCAACCATTTCCCTTCACAGGTATCCAGTGTTGGCAGTGTCTTCTATACCCTTCTGGAGATAATCTATGCATGAAAAAAAACCACATATGATTATATACATATAATATTATTTCATTTTATTTCTATAATGTGTACATTGTTCTGCAGTTTGCTGTTTTCACCTAATATATATTGGAGATCCTTCCATATTGTTACTAAAAGAGCTTTGGCATTCTTTTTAAATTCTACATGTATTCCACTCTTTGCAGTATAATTTATTCAGTGTACTATTAATAGACATGTGTTTGTGGTATATAGCTCTTGCATACAAGCAGCAATGACTATTCACACATGTATTGAGAGGTTGTGTGTTATATTGACAAAAGGCATTCAAAATTAGAGCTAGACCACCAGTGTACCTTCACATCCAGTACTTACCATATTTCATTTTGGGAAAATAACCTTAATTTCTTCAGCTCTAAGAACAGAATGATTATTCCTTCCCCTGACAGTTATTGTGAAACTTACTTTATCAGCTCGTAATATATTAACTAGTATTTAAAAAGGGCTTGAACAGTGACTGGTGAGCATGGTAAGTACTCAGTAATTATTAGCTATTTTTTAACATTTTATGTCATATATGGAATAAATCTATAACATAAATTTATAGAAGTAGAATTACTGGTAAAAAGGGCATTTTTACATTTTATATATTTTTGCAAATTATGCTCTACCTAAGTTTGACCAATTTGTAGTCCCACCAGCAATAAGATTTTCTCTTTATGCATATCTTGCCAATATGTTTAGATATAAATTATTTTATCTTGCCAATGTGTTCTGATGGTATTTTAATATACATTTCTCCTTATGCTTTTACATGCAGTTGAGCATTTTTTCATACATATAAGGATCACTTGTCCTTTATGTTCTGTCTGTTGTCTATTTATGTTCTTTGCCCTTCATTCTACTAAACTTATTGGCCTTTTTCCTTTCTGATATACTAGAAATCTTTATATATTACAGAAATCGTCTCTGTGATATGAGTCCTTCAGGTTTTTCTCCAATGTATGTGTGTTTTTTTCTTTTTTACTTTCTATAGTTCCCTTAAGTAACCGTGTGTGGTCATGGTGTTCTGATGCTTTTTAAAGGACTCCAGAGCACAGAAATAGAAAGAGTCCTTCCAGATTATTTGTATGAATATAGTTTAACCAAAATCAGACAATATCACACACAGAAAGAAAACAAGGTCCTTAAGATTATAAATGCAGAAATCCTCAATATTAATATAAATCAGAAGCTCCTTAAAAGGCCTAATATTAGCCACATGTAAATGGAATTCGTATTAGGAATGCAAGCATAGTTAAGTATTAGGAAATGTATTGACATAATTAGCCATGTTAATAATGAAAGGAAAAATTTATTTTCATCATCTCCATATATGCCGAGATATAATTTGCTAAAATTCAGCATCCATCCTTGATTACAGTTTTTAATAATTTTAAGGTATACACACACATACATACTTTATACACACTTACAAAAGTAAGCTTAAGTATGTGTGTTTGTTTTTAAACTCAAAGCCACCATCACAGGAAAAACTAAAACCAAGGCAAGGATATTCACTGCCTAGGATAAAGGATGTACCTTTATTCTAGAGTTACCAATCAATTTAATTACTCAAAAGAATAATAAGAGGTAAAAGGGGGAAGAAAAAGACAAAATTATGGTTATTTTCAGCTGACATCATTTATTTGGAAGACCTAAGAAGATCAGTTGCAATCTGTTAAAAAGAGAATTCATTAAGTTGTCTGAGTACAAAGTTACTATTAAAATGTCAGTTGTCTTTGTTTACATGAATAGTAATAAACAGTTTTAAGATATAATGCCAAGTAGGCATGATGCTACAAATTATTAGGAAGCCCTTAGTCACAGTTCTTGTAAACTGTAAGTGGCAAAAGTTTGTCTACATAGAACAAACATATTAACTGGATTTACCTATGAGGACTAGGAAAACCTAGGTCATCAGAAAGCATTTCTTTTTTTGGTTTTCTGATTAGGACTTGTTATATGACAACTAAAGATTATACCTGTCCCTTTCTTGCTTTATTAACACAAATGCTGTTTCAAAGAGAAGTTTGTGTAATGCTTTATGATTGGGGAGATTATGTTCTATTTCCTGCTTACTAGAGAAAGTCATTTCAA